GTGCAAGCAGCAGCATGTATGGGAGCCAGAATAATACAGTACTTAGCCCCCAAAACATCCCTGTTCTTTTCATTAAGGCTCGTACAGAAGCATTTGACGGAACCTTGTTCTTCTTGTCATGGCCCCTACATCGTAAACCCTCAGCCATCCCGCCTAGAGCCCTTTAAGGCACTCTTCAAAAGAACCCCTTAGAGGAACCCACTTCGAGTTATTCATCCTAAAGGCCTATACTATATCAGCACAGACTCAGGGTGTTTACCTTAAGCCCTAACTATTTATAGGTGCTCTCAATTTTTAAGGCTCCTATGTCAGAACCCTAAACCCTAAACCCTTAGGCTGGTGCCATTCCTGCACTCGTGCAGCTTCTGGAGACGGGCACGCCTGCGGCAAAGGTGCCTGGCATCGAACCGTGTTCGGGGTCCCAATGGGCCTTAAGCCTAAGCGCCTATAGTAGAAAGTAGGGTTTCGAAGAAAGAATTTTATTATAGTTGGGGCAGTCAGGATAAGCATCCCGTCATAGGTACTTAGGACCCTTTGGTGGTTTAGAGCATTCAGGGTTTACTACTTTAGGGCTTAGCTTAACTGAACTGTCATAGCCGGCACCCTGAAACCAATCATCTTTCAGATCCTACACCCTCGTGGGGTGAAGTGTTGGGGGCTCCTGCGGCGAGAATCCCGGCCTTTTGTGCACGGCGCCATGCTCCACAAACTTCTAGTGTTCTGTGAAAGATATAGAGGTTCGATTGAAATTGCCATATCTCTACTCCATTTGTTGAAAGGCCTTCTATTGTCTGGGGCTTGACATCACAACCGCCCGCCGAGGATCCCCCATTTTTGATCCTTGAAGCTTACATGGGGGTTTTCGAAAATGGGAGGCCCGAAGATTAACGAACGTGACCGTACTGACCGAACGCTTGTGTTTTGAACCTTACATATTTACCAGGGTTGTCTGAAACTCCCAATTTAATTTTCCAACAGGCTGAGCCCTAAATTCCTAAATCCTATGACCCCTTAACCCTACGCCTGAAACCTTTATCTCCTAAGTTTAAGGCAACTTGGTTTTCTGAAAGTCCCAAAGCCCAAAGCCCCAAACCTCAAACCGGTTAACTTAGGGGCTGAGTAGGTAGCCTTTAACCTTTTAAGACTCATATAATTCTACTATAATGAAAGGTCAGCCCTTTGTTTGGGCTAGGGTACTCAGCACCTAACCCTAAACCCTAAACCCCTAAACCCTAAACCCCTAAACCCTAAACCCCTAAACCCTAAACCCTAAACCTTAAAGTTCAAAGGAAAACGCCGCACACACGCGCTCTGAAGGAGCAAGCAGCTGGCGCCCTGCGCAACCTCTCCAAGAGCTCCATGAACCAGGTTCTGTCTGTGGGTGCTTAGGGTTTAAGGGTTTAGGGCTTTAGGGCTTCAGGGTTTTAGGGTTTAGGGTTTAGGGGTTAGGGTTTGCTTACGGTTTATAGGGGCTGAGTAGGTCACCTTTAACCTTTTGGGGGTTCTTCTAACCCTACTAGATTTCAAAAGGTTAACCTTTTTTGGGCTAGGGTACTCAGCCCCTAAGGTTTAGGGGCTTACCTTAACTCTCCAAAAACCCTACCTTTCTCAGGAACCAGAAAAGGAAGGCAAGATAAGGGGCGGCAGGAACGCAGCTTTTTCATATTCTGGATAGGGGTTCACGCTTGGGAAAGTTTATAACGTAGGGTTCAGGATTTTTGGACATGGGGCTTCTGGAGTTGAGGGTTTATGGACTGAGCACACTGCTGCTCATGAACTTTTAATGAAGAGGTAGATGAAGTAAGCCGAGCAGAACACTAAGCACTGGGACAGGCGAGAGTGGCTTCTGCATAGGCGTAACTAATAGACCAATCATGCTGCAGGTCAGCATCATGCCACGCAGCACTTGCTACTGCATGGTTGCAGTCATCACTAGCAGTGGCAGCAGCAGCAGCGCCGCCACCACGACCACAACCGCCAGAAACATTCAACGTGATCATGGCCACCAGTCTCGCCGATGACTGTCTCCACCATCATCACCACAGTGAATATCATCGTCGTCATGAGCGTCGCTGTTGGCAGAACCAGCTTGATCACCCTTCTTCATGCGCAGCAGTGTTTCATTTGACCCTAAACCCTAAACCCTATATCCTAAACCCCTAAACCCAAAACCCTAAACCCTAAACCCCAGATTTCCTGGGAAAGCCGCTGCCACAGGAAGTGATCGTCTCCTCCGGGGCAATCAGGCTGCTGGTGCATCTGCTGGCTCCTGGGCACACTTCGTTCTTCTCAGTTTGGAGCCTCGGGTTTTTGGCTTGGGGTGTCACGGGTCTTTTGTGAGGACCGAAGCAGTTTATAGCTGGACGCAAACGGGGCATAAACAAAAAGGGAAAAGGGTTTAGGGTTTGGGGTCTCTGCGTCTTACTAGCTTGTGGCTTTCCAACGTGCATGCTATGTTCATACTCCTGTACAAAAAGCCAAGTTTACGTCCACACATGCCAAGGTAACGCGCACAGCACCCACATAATTTATAGCCACAGATGTGACAGCATTATGCATTAAGTGCAGTGTCGTTCTTTGCCCCATGACCAAACCTTCATTCTGAGTTATAATCAAGGGAATTCAGGGGAGAAACCCATGTAAAGCCCTCCTAGATTCCTAGATCCCCATGCATACAACGAAAACGCTACAGAACCCCCTGAAAGCGTTATGGAATTGTAGAAAATCGGGTTTCCGCTTGATTCCACCACCCCGAAAAACACATAAGGACCTCGAAACCTAAACCCTAAACCCTGCCTTGTGCGAGAGTGAGAGTCGAAACCCTAAACCCTTAACTCCACATGGCCTCGCCACCCTAAACCCCTAAAAACCCTAAACCCTAAACCCTAAAACCCTAAAGCCCTAAACCCTAAACCCTAAACTCCCTAAAAAGCCTAAGCCCAGGCCGAGGCAGGGCCGGTGGGCAAGGAGAATGCCCTGGCGGTGCCCTGGCGCCAGAGTCCAGGGCTCCTTCATTTGGGGTTTTTGGGTTTAGGGTTTTAGGGTTTTAGGGTTTTAGGGTTTTAGGGTTTAGGGTTTAGGGTTTAGGGTTTTAGGGTTTAGGGTTTAGGGTTTCGGGCTCCTTTAAAGGATCTCTATTGGGTTTAGGGCTCCTTCATTTTGGGATCTAAAACCCTGTTTTAATTCTTAGGGCCAATATACCCTAAACCCTTATAGTAGCCCTTATAGAACCCTGTAAGGAACCCTTTAGAGGAACCCCAAAACCCTATTCTAATTCTTAGGCCACTACCTTCTGCAAAGCACCCAACTTTATGAGACCGGGCTCCTTTAAAGGATCTCTATGGGCTCCTTTAAAGGGATCCATAAGGGTTCCTTTAAGGGTTCTTGTAAGGGATCTATAGGGGTTCTTTAAGGGTGTTAGAGGTTGGTTTTCAGTTCACTGTTTCAGGGTTTGAGTTAAGGCTTTTGGGATTTGAGATTTTGGTTTGAGGGTGTTAGGGTGCAGGGTTCTTGCCAGAGTTAGAGCTCTAGAGGTGTATGGGTTCCTTTGAAGGCCACTAACCAGGCCAACTAACATGATGACTCTGCTAGGTCTAGGACATTGTCAGGTGGGTAGTTACCGTTGTTGGAGCCCTATAGAAGGTCTATCTACCTTATGGAAGCCTTATAGAAGCCCTATATACCCTCTGTAGTTTCCTGTAACTAGGGTTTCGGATTCAGAGTTTTTCGGTTGAGGACGTAGTGCAGGGCTCGGCATAGCATAGCACAATGGGCCCAGCCCATCAGGTCCAAGACGTAGAGCGGAATAGGGTTTACCTATGTGTCTCCATTGTAGTTTCTTTTTTGGGTTAATCAGTTTTATGGTTAGGATCCTATTACATAGATTTGGTTAGGAAAAAAGGAACTGCAAATGAGACTATGGGTAGGGTTTGGTGCGCCCAGATACCACAATTGAGAAACGGAAATATGAGAGAGCGGGTGGTTTCGTTGAAGTAGCCGTCAGTGGGCCGTATGTGGGTGGGGGGAGTTGGTTCGAGGCTTTTGGGTTCAGGATGTACAGGATCAACTTCAGCCAAACCCGACCACTCCCAAGCCCTGAAACCTGAACCCAAAAGCCTTAAAGCCCTAAACCCTATAAACCCTCACTACGACTCAGCTTTTTCAAGACCCCACAAAGCTGGAGCTTTTAGCTCCAAGCATCCGACATGCAGGTTCTCAGCAACCTCCTTCCCGGCACGGAGAGGGAGGCAAAATCGGGCCCCGAGCCCTAAAGTCCGAAGACACCAAAAGGGTTTAGGGTTTAGGGTTTACCTGAACCTTAAGAGCATATCTCCTAACCCTCTGAAGCAATTAACCCCGAACTCTGAAAACGTCAATAGTGGCGAAAGTCTATAAAGCCCCAAACCCAACATGTTGGACTACACCGCTAGAGTCCGCTAGAGTGTCGGTTTTGCAAAACCAGCTCCCGTTGCCAATTGGCCAGGGGAACTTGTTTGCATTTTGTGTCTGGTGTCTCTGCACTCCCAGAACCCTTTCTTGTTCCCAACCCCTTTGTGTCGTGTTCTGCCCTGATAAACTGTGAGTCAAGTCGTGCTCAACCCTCAATCCGTAGTTTAGGGTTAAGGGGCCTTGTGTGAGCTGTAAGCGTGGTCAGCTTGGGGGCAGCGTGCCAGTACGTACTGTCTGCACTAAACACCCTTGACTGCAAACTCCAAGAACCGTATTGTATACGGCCCTTCAGGCTGTATAGGGTTTGTAACAAATCCATGCCGGTGACCTTGCAACAGATGTCTAAAGTTGGAAGGCTCAGCACGCCGCTCTCAGCCCCAACGATAATGCTCTTGCACACTCGCGACGCCGGAGACTGTGACAGCCCTGCTGTAGCCTTACTTCAGTTTGTCTTTATTCTATATCTATTATAATCCTACCATAATTATTGAAAAGGTTAACCTGTTTTTGGGCCAGGGTACTCAGCTCCTGAGACCCTGCGCCAGGCAGCCATGGTGCAGTCCGGGATAGTGGCCCCACTGGTGACGGTTCTCGGCGACTTGTCTTCCTCAGGGCTCGGCTCATTTTCGAAACACCGAGAGCTGTTTAACGTAGACGCCGGAAACATCACCAATGCTATTTTTGTGGGGTGCCTTTATTCTGATACTAAGGCTCGTATAGCACATCAAGGAGTTTGGGCTCGTAACTGTCGGATGTCACAGATTTTCTCTTGTTACAGGTGCCCTCCAGCGGCTAATTGCTGCCGGACCTTCTGAAAAGAGACCCGTCGGACTAAAGCAGGTAGTGTAAGGGCCTGAATGATTCGAATAAGGTTTGGGGGGTTCCTCATCATAAGTATAGTATGATATACCCCCAAACCCTATTCTAATTGAATAAGGCCCCTATACTATGAGCTCTGATCATATCAAATGCATCCCACATCGTCGCTTGTCGGCTCTTCGGGAGGATTCTCAGAGGTACAACTCCAGGGTGCGTTTGCCACGGCGCTGATCGATCCGATCCGCGTCATGTCAAAGCCCGTTGCGCTCCTTGCGATCGTCGCGGAGAATCGTATGATCGGAGTCGTGGACGACACGCCACTGCCTTTCAACATCGCGACCCTCATGGAATGGATTCTCCACATCTCGCAAGGCGCAGACGGAAGTCCCGCCCCGCTGAAGCACAGCTTCGTCTTCGGGCGGCGCGTTTACGAAGAGTTCATGGGCTATGGCATCATGCCCGTGGGCGGAGGTGTGAATGTGGTGATTAGCAGCTCCTTAGCCAGCAAGGATGGCACACCAGCACTTCTGCCAGCGACCACAGCAGCTGATGCCCCGAAGGATCCACGGATTTTGGCTGCTGGCTCGGTAGAGGAGGCCCTGAAACTGGGCACCGCTCCCGAAGCAGAGCCCCGTGCAGGAGATGTGCATCGTGCTCGGTGGCCAGCGCATCTATGAGGACACAATGCCCAAAGCCTCCCTCATGCGCATCGCCCACCTTCGCAAAAGCTTCGATGGTGGGATTCTTTTCCCGGAGATCTCGGAGAAGGAGTGGTGTCCGTATGCGACAGGTGAAACCAAGACCGAGAAGAACGAAGTGGACGGGAAACCTCTGGACTATCAGATCATTGCCTACACTCGTGTGGGCGAGACCTTGGACCCGTCTGTTCTGGATTCCGTCATCGCCGTGAACGAGGCCTTTGACAAACGTCCCAAGGAAGCCCCTGAGAAGCAGGAGTGAAGTGGCCGCCTGCGATTTGTGTTTTGATTTTTCTCCAAAACGGTCTCTGCCATCGTAGAACTATGGACCCTAGGACTGTTGGGATGCTCCAGATCCTGGAATTTGCAGGGGGCTCGGGGGAGTTTGGGCTCTGAAAAGCACTGACTGCTGGCAGCGGTGCTCTGCTCGCAAACATGCGGCGGAGCCATTGGCCAGTCCTGTTGTTTCCCGAAGAGCCCAGTTCCCTATATACAGTGGTAGTTTCTGCCACGCTATCCGCAATATACGTTTTTGTATACTGCATCGGGTTGTGGGAAGAGTATAAGCCACTGTGCATGTGTAGTTCTCGCAATCAGGGTCCTACATTACCCACCTGAAAACTGGGCTTCTAGGGTTTCCGTGAGCACTGTACAGACAAAATACCTTCAGAGCGACAACCCGCAAGACCAAGACAGAGAGATCCCGTGCAAAAGCTTGCGAACCATTGCGTCCTGCCTTCATCGAGTATGATGGTTCTGATTTAAACAGATATACATAGCCTATACATATATATATATATACTAAATCTGTGCGTATAACACATACATACATACATACATACATACATACATACATACATACATACATACATACGTAGGAACGTACATACATACATACATACATACATAAAATATATACACGTGTGTATGTATATCATGTACTTACAAGTATAATCGCAAGTATATACATGTATGTGTATATATATATAGTACGTATTATAGGGCATCGCAGTATAATTTTGCATTTAGCCGTTTACAGTCACCTCAATCCTCAATCCCTCCGTGATCCCTTAGACTGGGGCCTGGTGCTGCACAGCTTTACAAAGCACGAGGGCTGAAGGAGAAGGCAAGCGAAGCAGAGCTAGACCGTAGTTACACCCAGTCCAGCGAAAGCTGGATGTTGTAATTTGAGGCTGTAGGCGAGAAGCCACCTAAATCCAACGAAAACCTACAGACGAGAGGCAGCGTTCTTGAAAGTTCCAGGTGCTACGAGTCTCAACGCTCGCAGTCCCCGCTTGTAACCCCTAAACACTTGACACCGTGCCCACTTGGAGGTTCATGGGTAGTTTAAGTGGGGTTATAAGTAGGGTACTTCTAACCCCACTCATATAACGACCCATGAGCCTCCAAGCAAGGATACGGGACGCGCCAGAGCCAGGTGCCCTGGGCTGGTTTTGACGGGCTCTCACCTCGAAGCCGTGTTTAGACCCGAACGTTGTAGCTTGGTTGTAGGCCCAAGCCTTCTAGAAGGACCAGGGAGCCCCAGCAAGTCAGTTGCAAGCCGGGACATAATCATAAGCGGGATACTGGCCGCCACAGGCCAGTCAAGACTTAAGTTGTACCATCGGGTCTGAGGCTTAGGTCGATGAGTGGATTTCTCCGTAAACCTAAATGCTACACCCCTTCAGCCCGGAATGGGAGTTGTGTTCTTTGGAAACAAGCCGCAAATTGAGCAGGGTACGTAGCAAGAGCCCATTTACTACCATAAGCCTGCCCTGTTCTTAAATAGCGCATACTAGCTCCAACTCCTGTGTTGGACCTGCAAGGAATATAAACCCTAAACCGCAGCTCCTGCTTTGGACCTGCAAGGAGTATGCTTTGCAGATCATGGCGCCCCTGTCGGTCAGCACCTCCACCCAGGATAGCCAACGGAGATCGGACATGTCTAGATGTACGTCTCTTCTGGCATTTCATACCTTTCGGGGCTTAAGAACGTGACAGACTCCGCATCTTCACATTTTAATTATGATTTATTACCAGTGCCATGGATACAGCTGCCCGTCATTGCTGTAAGTGTGATCAATTACGAGTGTGACAAGTACTGTTAGGGCTGCCGCCAGTGTTACCAGTACGACTATCATTGTGACAATCATTAACCCTAGACCCCTAAACCCTAAAGCCCTACCCTAAACCCTTAAAACCCTCAAATCCTAAACCCCGAACCCCTAAACCCTAAGCCCTATAAGCCCTAAAGCCCTAAAGCTTAAACCCCAAACCCTACACCCCTAAAAAGCCCTATAAGCCCTAAGCCCTAGACCCTAAAGCCCCCTAGAACCCTCTAAACCCCAAGCCCTACACCTGTGACTTGGAACTTAGAAGGGGATCGTAGGCTTGGAAGGTTGCTGTGCTGGAGCATGGAACTGGTGGAGTATTTTTCAGGAGTTTGGGAGACATATTTTCAATAAAGGTTCAAGGAGTTTAGGGTATGGGGCTTTGGTCTTCAAGTTTTTGTTTGTTTTAGGTTTTCTTGGTCTTTTTACAATTTTGTGGTGTAGATGTTTGTTTGGGGGGGAGTAGAGGGGAGGTGATGGTTGTTTTTAGCTGCTGAGGGTTTAGGGTTAATGGTCGACATCTCAATGGTGTATACCCATAGGCCCGAAAGTAGTTCCTCTTTGGGGTTACCTTATAGGGTTCTAAATATGAACCCTGAAAAGGAACTACTTTAGGGTCTATGGGTAAGCTTGGCCTTGGTGTTCACGGCCACGGAGGCTGCGGAGACATCATCTACTTAACGAGAAGCGTGGTTTAGGTTTGAGGCTAACTTTGGGTCTAGGGCCGCTTTCGCTGTGGTATTCGGCGTCTGATGGTGTCACCCCTAAACCCTAAACCCTAAAACCCTAAACCCTATAGACCCTAGACCCCTAAACCCTAACCCTAAACCCTGAACACAAAAAAACCCTAAACCCTATAGACCCTAAACCCTATAGACCCTAAACCCTATGGACCCTAAACCCTAAACCCTATACACCCTAAAGCCCTAAACCCTAAACCCCTAAACCCTAAACCCTAAACCCTACAACCCTAAACCCTAAACCCTATAGACCCTAAACCCCTTAACCCTAAACCCTAAACCCTAAACCCTAAAACCCTAAACCCTATAGACCCTAAACCCCTTAACCCTAAACCCTATAGACCCTAAACCCTAAAACCCTAAACCCTATAGACCCTAAACCCT